GTTCCAGCGAACCAAGTTGCAGTGTCTAGCGGACACGCAAGCCTCGTTGAGGCAATAAATCGATTGGAACTGTAAATGCTCTCAATCCTAATGGGGGAGAGTGTAACGGGGTAACACGTAACCTGGTAACAGGGGTGTGTGTCACACGAGATGGACATGGTGTGATTGCACCCAAATAAGAATACGGTACGTGGCTAGGTAGCCAGTAGTTATGCATGTATTTATGTTTTACTATATATATTTAGGAAAATCTATACATTCAAAATTAGGAGGCTTTGTCGCAGATAAAAAAATAAAGTCAATTTTGAACTGCAACTAAAGCGTTAATTAGCCTTCACTTAAGGTTTTAATTACTCTTGGAGTAAGCGGATTGCGATCCGCTAAGTTCGTTCTTTATCAAAGTATAGAAAAATTGTCGGTGACCTAACTTACGTTTCGTCTAAGCGCAAAGCTACGGCAGCCCCGCTGCCCTTAATGATATCTGTTTACAATGAGACATCCTATTGCAAAAGCTGAATCGTCAAAGATGACGTTGAATGGCCATCTGGTTTCGAAAGAGCCAGAATCGGAACACGCATGAAATTTTCTTCATCAGCTGTGAAAAGCCACGCAATTTCAAACTCTAGCACCATATGACATCCTATTTTTGTTCTTGGTGAGGGTAAGCTCCAAATCAGCATATTTGCACATACTTGTGCAAGAGATAAACCAAATCAAGCCACTTTCTCCAGTCCGTTTTTACAAGGGCAAGGTCTAACCTACAGTGACCTTAACTCTGTGGGGATTGTCCACAGGCTCCTTCCCAATAACGAGGTCCAAAAAGTCATTTTGTCGGCGTCATGGGTACACTTGTCCATATTGACGAACAAATTATTTGACCATATACTCCCAAGCTCCGCTCGGATGTTTTCAATATTGTTTTTTGCATCGGACTTTCCGTGCTCTGTGCGACTATGAGCAAATTAATTGTCAGAATTGATGTGCATAGCTATGATGCGGCCTGAACAGCTACGTCATCAGAAGAATGAGCGTGATCAAAGCGTGAGACACTTCGAGTAGCAGACTTTACCTCTCTTCATAAATCTCGCACTCATCGAGGTAATAAGGAGATCACCATCTTCCAATAGCTGCGGATAGATAGTCATAAAAAAGTAAATCGAGAAAACTAAACAAAATTCTGCCGACTAAGCTTTTTAAGCAGCATCTCCGTTTGTAGGATGGCGTTTGCGCCCCAAATTGCAACTTTTCTTCAGCTAATTTGATACAGAAAGTCAACGGCGAGTAGTAAAGCATATATCGCCGTGTGACGAATATTTTGTTCAGGAAACAAATCAATTCATGTATACCTCCATATCCATGATAGTGTGCGTGGTGGTTCTCGCGTCACCACGACGTTATATATCTTAAACGAATGGTACAAAGGATTCGTGGAATTCTTGAGGAGAATCACTGTCCTTCATCTGTGTTTAAAGGCCAGTTGAGTTGAAGAGAGACTTCATGTCGCGAGTAGAAAGTTCAGTCTCTGTAAGAGATAATGATGTCTTATCTTTGCAACAATGTGACGGTACAGCAGACTAAGCTCTTACGTGTGGCAGACCAACCTGCGGAGCAGTGAGGATATATAGATTACGGCGGAGATGGTTTGAACTCGCTGATAGTGTTATCAAGGTAGTTGTAGGGATTGCTTGACTTTCTCACCACCTCCGACTAAAGCTCTCATAAAGTAAAAAGAAGTACCCCTTGAAAATATGAAATCGCGAGACGGTAAGGCCAAAATTAGTAATAAGGAGGAGCTGAGCTGTCATCTGTCATGGAAACCGCTCGCTGAGCACTAAGTGCGACTTTCGTTTGCTACACCCGAGAAGTAGAGCGTGACACCACACATATTCGAGTTTCAAGAAACTAATAACTCGTGCCGTATCAGCCACTTCGGATCAAGGAGGCCGTATATCGAATCGACTTTCAGAACTATGTGTACAAACTTTCCTTGTACATCTGATTTCGTCGTTGGCTTTTTATCTAGTCTACTGTCGCGAGACGCACGGATATCGTATCTGTATCTACCATCATCAATGCATCCGCATACCGTCTACTATATTAGACAGTTGCGCGTCGTGAGTAACTACACGATATTCTTCGATCTATCAAAAGTTTTAAGATGTATATATAGTACGGGACCATAATATCAACCGTGTTGAGATACTCAGCTCTCCTACAGAGACTGACCCCATTTGGCGATAGGTACCATAGATGAGGTTCGATACTACTAATCCATTCTAGTGGGTGGCCATACGCCTACTAAATTCGACGTTTCCCCACGAGATTTTTGCCAACGCTCTTTACCCTGTGGTTGATCATTCGTAAATCTGACTCGGAAGCGGAGTTGGTGCGCGAGATAGAAATGACTTGTACTCCCCCAAGTGAGCTATCCGCAAGTATCGTAGATCTACTCGGCTACCAACATATACTTTCTTACTTAGCTTAACTGAGATGTACCGCCCCTGGAGCTCTCATAGAGCTTCTAGCTCCAGACGTCATTCAGGTTTTGTGGCGCGAAAGCGCGAACGCATCGAAGCAGACGCCCACCGCTTCTTCGAAAGAGGTATGGTGCGGCACGTGTATCGGAGCAAGCCGCATTCGTTCAGTAGCCCATCATGAATGTGGTAACTGTTACCACCTCCGAATGATATTCAGACGCCGTTGCGACTATAAGATGTCAAAACCTTTCAGCCCACACCACTATGTTTTCGCTTCTCTTGGCGAGTGGGGAATTCGCGAGCAGCTATAGGTCTGATTAGGTGGTAGGTGCCCCGCGACATCTAACTTTGAATTATTCGTGTAAGAACATCCTCTAGTACCGACGTACTTTACATTCGTATCCATTCACACGCGCTATTTCCAAGTCTGAAGACTGCAAGAGCGACGCGCTGTTGCTCAATTGTAGCAAGGCCGACATCTCGACTTTTTTTGAAGAAGAAACAATTTTCTAATGATTATTGGTCTCACGATGGGGCCATTTATTCCCCAGATGGAGTGGTGTTGATCTTTCCTCGACAACACGTGCTCAATACTGATGTGCGCCTTCAGGCGAGCGATTACCGCTTGTGACACCTTAGCCACCAGTTCTATGATTTTATCGAGACCAACGAACGACGCAAGCTAGTATATTTATCCTGGGGTAGTCACGCGAACATTTTATCTTTCACCCTCGCAGATGATGCAATCCTTTTACCATTTGGTCGTAGGATTGACTACAAGTGCTTGTAAATGCAACAATTTACCATGCGCTTTGCACAGAAAACGCTTTGACATTATGTTTGCGCTACAAACGTCCATGTTGGAAACAAGTAAAGTCTCCACCTAAGTAAACCAGGGGGAGTTATAAAATCCACCGATTCTCTTCAACAGGTTATGAGTTCATCACAACAGAATGATAATGTTATTCACAATAAGACGGACAAGAAGGGAGAGCTCACCCCAGCAGCAGTATTGCGTGAAATGCAGGAGATGATGCTACAGTTGAAGGGAGAAGTACAAGATGTGAGGATAGAAGTAGCATCAATTAGGTCTGATAACGGACAGCGTCATCGGCAGCCTTTCGTACTTAGTAGTGCTTCGGCAGAAGCATTTTGGAGTGTCATGCTTGAACGCATCAAGAGTCAATCCCAACCTCACATGCCAGGTTCACGTGGTTCAGATCTGGGAGTACGAGATCACCGTATGTCCTACGATGAAATCGCTCGCGATGACGCGAGACAGAGAGAACAGCAGTTCCAAGCGTATAGAGAGCAACAAGAGACGCAGGGAATGCATGCATTCCTACCACAGCATCAACAGCAACAATTTGGCCCAAGGATTTCAACATTGAGGCAGAGGATGCTCTCGATACCTCCTTTTGAGGGAAAAGTGACTTATACGGGTTTAGGATCCGGCTTTGAGCTCTGGGTTTGCAATTCATGAGAGAGGCCAACATGGCTGTCACTCTCTCTGGCTTTGAATTGTCAGACGGAATCAAGGTTGATGTGTTAGGAAGCAAACTATAGGGCACTGCAGCCGATTACTTCCAGAGAAGAATCTATCAATGGTGGGGTGGAAATCATTCATTTGGTCATGCCATTGACCAACTCACCAAGTATTTGCATGTAAGATATCAACATCCCAAGCTACAAAGATTTTACTATCAAAATAGGAGAAATCCAGATCATGGACAGAACATTACTTATACCCCACAGCAGTGTCAGCTGTGGCAGGTGGAAGAGACGACCTGGTACTAGAGGACATTATGAGGTTTGCATGCCCTGAGTTGAAGCAGGTGCTGATGGCGGAGTATGACCCTACAAGGAAGGATGTCCTGCGGCAAGCAGAGGAACTCACCCATTTTACTCAACCCGTGGACAGTGAATGGAACAAGCACGTGGGCAAGGATCTTGGGCAGAATTCAGCGAGTTACAGCCAAACTACAACTGACAAGTGTTACGACTGTGGGAAAAAGGGTCACCATGCGAAGA